TCCCGATTAAAATGTTGATTTGTGGTTGGGTTGTGTGGGTTGTGGGCTTTTAAAATGAAAAATGAGCTTAATTTATGGGTTATCTAGTCAAAACTGACTAACTCAAGATGAGAAGCCCAAAAGGAAATAAGCTAAAAGTCCAGCTGCCAAACATAAGGTAAAATCGAGATTTTGCCTGATTTCACTTGATTTCACGGTAAAATCTAGATTTTACCGTGAAATCCCCAGATTTTATTGTGAAATCCCCAGATTTTAATATAGATTTTACACGAAATGTCTTGCTGAAATCGTAAAATCGTAAGATTTTAAAATTTAAATATAAATTTTGACAACAATGCCCTTCGCTAACTAACTTCCTTAACGCCATTTGTCGTTGGCCTGAGTGGCATTGCACTTGCACGCCTTTGCATTTTTTTTTTTTTACTTTACTTCGTTTGTTTTTAATAATAATATTTTTTTAATTAATTAATTTTTAAATTAATTAATTAACATTATACAATATACATATTCTCAAGTTTTTTTTTAATAAAATAATGATATATTTTTTATTTTAATTAATAATACATTTTACTTCAATAATCTTTATAAATTACTTTTTAAATTTAATTAAACCACCTAATTAATAAAGAAAATTGTTAATATGTTTTTCATTTTTCTCATTGATTTCCCTCTCCATTCAAATTTAGTAGATCTAGATTCTTATTTGGTGTGTTCAAAATTAATTATCCACATTGGATTTTTAGGATGTCATTTAATTTGTTTATTTCTATTTTACCCTCATTTTAAAAAATTAATTACACATATATTAAATAAAAAATCTTATTTAAGTGACATTTAATTAGGGATAAATATGAAATTTTATCAATAAATTATTTCGCATCTATTTTATTAAAAAAATTAAGTCTATTAAAATAAACAGTGGGAGTATTATGAAAGGGTTTTTTAACCTTTACTCTTAAGGCATATATTAAAAGTTTGACAAATATATTTTTTTATCATAAATTTATATTAGAAGAATAAATGCTTACCTTCAATTTATCAATTATTTAATTAAATTCATTAATATAACAATAACACTAAAATTAAAATTAGCTTTTAAATTTTTAATATAAATTAATGACAAAAAAGTGTCTTTAAGGGTACACATCTAACATTTTAAATATCATGACTCCTTGTAAAATTATTTAAATATCCATAATAAATTTTTTTGTGTTGATTTACTAAAAGTATTTTAGTCTTTTCATTTTCATTTCTAGCATTTTAATTGTCTTTTAAATGATTTTGAAATGCAATTAAAATATCATAAATGATAATAAAAAGATTAAAATACCTTTAGTAAATCAAAAAAAATATTTATTAAAAGTATTTAAATAATTTAATAGGAAGTCTTAACATTTAATATGATAAGATATTTTTATTTTTGCTCTTAGGTACACCTTTTTGCCATTAATTTATATAGAAAAATGTAAAAATTAGTATTAATTTTAGTGTCATTGCTACGTTGATGAATTTAATTAAATAATTGATAAATTAAATGTTAACATTTATTCTTCTAATATAAATTAATGACAAAAAATATATTTATTACAATTTTAATATGTATACTAAGAGTTGAATTTAAAAAACTCCTTTCATAATAATTAATGAGAAAAATAAAAAATATGTTAAAAAAATTCTTTATTAATTATGTGATTTAATTAAATTTAAGAAGTAATTTATCAAGATTATTGAAGTAAAATGTATTATTAATTAACATAAAAAATATATCATTATTTTATTAAAAAATATCACTTAAGGATATGTATATTATATAATATTAATTAATTAATTGAAAAATTCATTAATTAAAAAATATATATTATTATTAAAAACAAATGAAGTAAGAGAAAAAAAAAAAACATACAAAGGCGTGCAAGTGCTATGCCACGTGAGCCAACGACAAACGGCGTCACGAAATCAGCAAGCAGAAGGGCCGATTTGCACCCAATGTGAGATTGGAGGGCTTATTTGCCACTTTTTTAGTTCATGGACTTGTTATTTGCTGTTGAAAAAGTTGAGGAGCTTAAGAAGGGTGGTTTTTGCCAAACTTAATGCCCTAACTTTTGCTTGTAAAATTTAGGTCACAAAAATACGTACTGTTGATCTCTAGAGTTTCAGATGAGAAAAGCAAAATGTACCTTATATTCAGGGGTCATTTTGAATGGAACAATTATTTGTAATTGAATCTCCGTTCATACTACTTGAAAGCCACAACCTCGATGAAAGGTGCTTTCTAGTGAGCACCAAGTAACAGCTCCTCCTATTCATCATCCCAATAGAAAATTAATACCAAAACTCAACAAAAAAAGAAAAGAAAAGAAAAGAAAAAAAAAAATGAAAATGAACAAAGATAGACTAGCTAGACGTTAATCATGGTTTCTTCGGGGCTTTTAGTGTTGAATTTGGGAGAGGTTATGATGAAAGAAGAATTGAGGAAGAAATTCATCACAAGCACACAGAAGATGGAAAAAAAAAAAAAAATTGTTGATTCTTGCAAATTGTGAATGGAGAGGGAAGAAGGGGGAAGTTCATGAAATTTTTTAGAAGAAACTGGATGAAAACGGAAGCAAGAAATAACTGAAAAACCAAAGGTGAGTGGGCTTCCGCGCAGCCAATTTTTATTAGCTTTTTGCAAGAACAGAGAAGTTTGGGGCTTGTGAAATGGAAAACAATGGCGGCCCATAATTCATATTTAATAATTGGACCTTAAAAGGTGTTTTAAGTGGTGCTAATTTTTTAATCCTCTAACGATATAGTAAGGTATAGTTTGTTTGTTTGTTTTTTTTTTTTAAGCATTTGATTTGGTGAAAATCAAAGTATAATATTAAACTTTCGAAAGCCTTTTCCCTGTCTTGAACTCACGAAATCTTACGGTTATTGGGTCTGGCCATATGTGGTTAGAAGTGTGTTTTTTTTTTTTTAAATATAATTTTGGGATTCTCTTTGTTTTCTTATTGGCTCATTGGTGCTGTCCTATTTTTCTTCTAAAGAAATCTACAAAAGAAAGGGCTAAGAACAAAAACGAGGAAGAACAAATGATTAAAAACCAAAAATAAAATATATAAAAAGAAGGTTCTTTTATATGAATGTGTTCATGCCCTATTCAATATTACACCATTGGTTTCTCATTAAGGACCAGAACTTGGACCACCTCAACCTCAGGAACATCTTCAATCCAATATTCATCATGTTCAATTTTCTGCGCACACTACAAGAATTCACTGTATCACCGACGAGAAACCATGTTGGAGAAAGAGGGAATCTGGTAAGTGAAACAAACTACCCACTTGCATCACGTCGGTAATGGCTGCCACGGTAAAGCCCGGCTCGGTAATTAAATCACCGAGGTAGATGAAAATCACGTCGGTAAACGCACTCACAATTATCGACAAAAAACATCTTGCAAATAGGGAGCCAGAACAGTTAACCGGAAAACATTTCTGGTTCCATGTCGGTAAATTACCGACAAGGATAACGTCTACACATAAGGAGGTGCCTCGAGCCCTGCGCTTATCACCAACGAACATCACGTCTGCCAATGCCACGGAAATAGTTGGCCGTCTTACTAGATCACCGACAAGAGCCACGTCTGACAGTGAAGATCTTCGCTGCAGGTTCAAATCGTCTCCAAAATTTTAGGTGCCAATTTTTTCAAGCGCGTTTTTTGATTTCTCTAGTTACCGACGAGAGTCACGTTGGTAATTAACCCTGAAAAAATAAAAAAATATATGTTGAATTCAGCTTTAGGCGCCAATTTTTTCAGGCGCCATTTTTTATTACTGTTTTCCTACTTACCGACAAGAATGGCGTCGGTAATCAACCCTGAAAAAATAAAAAAAAATGTCTTGAATTCAGCTCATATTAAAATTAATATATATATTTATTGTTTAATTAAATTAATTTACAATTAAACATTAAGTAATTCGTAATGTTTAATATTATAAAAAATAAATATAATATGAAAATTTTATAATGTAATCAAAAAATTATTTATTTATTTATTTAAATTAAAAATTAAAACATAACTTAAAAGAAAAATAAAATGA